ACTTTGAATATTCATATACACGTCATTATAAGGACATCTATTTCTATTTCTATTGGATAAATACCTAGAGTAAGAATGGTTTGACCATATGGTAGGTATATGTTGAACATTTTAAGGAAATGCCAGACTTTCACAAAATGATTATACAATTTTTTCTTTCCATCAACAGCAGATAGTTTTTCTGTCCTCACCACCATTTGATTTTTTTTTTTAATTTAGCCACTCTAACATGTATATGGTAATATCTAATTGTGGCTTTAATTGCATTTTGTTAATGACTGAAGGTATTGACAATTTTTAATGTGCTTATTTTCCATTCATATACCTTATCTGATAAAAGTCCCACTTTAAAAATTACGTTTTTTTCTTACTATTGAGATTTGACAGTTTTCTATATATGCTAGATACAAATCCTTTATCAGATATATGGAAAATTTATTTTCCCACCCTGGGACTTGTTTCCTTCTCTTAGGTATCTTTTGAAGAGCAGATGCTTTTAATTTAGATAACATTCAGTTTATAAATTTATTGCTTTATAGATCATACTTTTGGGTTTATATCATGCCTAACCCAAGGACAGAAAGATTCTCTCAAGTTTTCTTGTAGAAGATTTGTTGCTTTAGGTTTTATATATTTAGGTGAGTCTTTCCTGTGTTAATTTTTCTATTAGGTGCACAGTATGAATTAAAAGTCTTTTTTCATATAGATATCTAATTGTTACGATACCCTTTGTTGAGATGTGCCCAATGTCCACTAAGTTGCATTTGCACCTTGGTCAAAATTTGGTTTTCTTATATATGTGTGGTTTTATTTTTGGACTTTCTGTTTTGTGTCATAGGTCTCTGTATCTGTCTTTACACTAATAATATTTTGATTTGTGTAGTTTTATAAATCTTGTCATCAGGTGGTATTATTTCTTCAATTTTATTCTTTTTGGTTATTATAGGTCCTTTGCATTTTCATATGAATTTTAGATTTACTTTTCTCAATTTCTATGAATGAAAGGCTGCATTGATTTTAATATATAAATTTGGGGAGAATTTATATTTTAACCACATTGAGGCTTCCAAAGTATGAATATGCTGTCTCTTCAGTTATTTAGGTCTTCTTTAGTTTATCTCAGCACTGTTTTTTCTGTTTTTAGTGTTCACATCTTTCATATATTTTTGTCAGATATGTCCCTAAGTATTCATATTTTAATACTATTATAAGTTATATTATTTTTATTATCAGTTTTTTATTGTTCATTGCTAGTACATAGATGTATGATTGAGTTTTACACATTGATCTTATATCTTATAATCTTGTTAAATTCATTTATTAATCCTTGTAGCTTCTTTGTAGATTCTGTCAGATTTCCTACATAGATGATCATGTTTGTGAATAAAACAGTGGTATCACTTATGTATTTCCAAGCTGAATTTTTTTTTTTTTGTCTTGTTTTGTTCTTTGTCTTACTACACTGACTGGAACCTCTAGGATAATGTTAAATAGAAGTGTTGTTTTCTTATTTTGGGACAAAATCAGTAAGACTTGTTAGGTATCACATTAGCTGCAGGGATTTCTGTAGATGCCTTTTATCAGGTTGAGAACATTCCCTTCTAGTAGATTAAGAATTTTTAGTAGGAATTAACATTTTATTTTTTCAAATGCTGTTTCTGCATCTATTTATATGATCACATACTTTTCATCTTTATTAAAATGGATAACATTGATTTTAAATGTTAAACCAACCATGAATTCTTAGGCTAACCCACCTTGGTCATAATGTATTATTCTTTTTATACATTCTTGGACAATATGTATATGCTAAATTTTTATATCTACACTCATGAAGGCTATTATTCTTTTGTTTACTTGGTTTCCTGTTATGTTCGTGGTTTTGTCATCAGGGTAAAGTCGATCTCATAAAAGAGTTGGCAATTGGTATTATTCTTCCTTTAATTGTTTGATAGAATTTACCACTGAAGATATTTGGGCCTGTGTATTTTCACTGTGGGAAGATTTTTAACTAAAAAGTTCAATAGGTAATAAGGTTATTCAATATATCTATTTCTTTTTTTTTCATTTTAAATATATATTTTATTGATTATGCTATTACAGTTGTCCCATTTTTTTCTCCCCTTTATTCCCCTCCACCGCCCCATCCCTCCAGCATTCCCCCCTCCCTTAATTCATGTCTGTGGGTCGTACTTATAAGTTCTTTGGCTTCTCCATTTCCTATACTATTCTTCACCTCCCCCTGCCTATTTTGTATGTACTATTTATGCTGCTTATTCCCTGTACCTTTTCCCCCATTCTTCTTCCCCCCCTTCACCTCTGTTTTACTGTTCATAGCTTTTGATCTTCTTTTTCTTAGATAAGTCACTTTAACATTTCATATAATAAGGGCTCTGTGATGATGAACTCCTTTAACTTGAACTTATCTGGGAGGCACTTTATCTGCCCTTCCATTCTAAATGATAGCTTTGCTGCATAGAGTAATCTTGGATATAGGGCCTTGCCTTTCATGACTTTGAAAACTTCTTGCCAGCCCCTTCTTGCCTGCAAGGTTTCTTTTGAGAAATCAGCTGATAGTCTTATGGGAACTCCTTAGCAAATAACTATTTCCTTTTCTCTTTCTGCTTTTAAGATTCTCTCCTTATCATTAATCTTGGGTAATGTAATTACGATGTGCCTTGGTGTGTGCTTCCTTGGGTCCAGCTTCTTTGGGAGTCTCTGAGTTTCCTGGATCTCCTGGAAGTCTGTTTCCTTGGCCCGACTGGGGAAGTTCTCCTTCATTATTTTTTCAAATAAGTTTTCAATTTCTTGCTCTTCCTCTTCTACTTCTGGCACCCCTATGATTCGGGTGTTGGATCGTTTAAAGTTGTCCCAGAGGTTCCTATGCTTATCCTCATTTTTTTTGAATTCTTGTTTCTTCATTCTGTTCTGGTTGAATGTTTATCTCTTCCTTCTGCTCCCAATTGTTGATTTGAGTCCCAATTTCCTTCCCTTTGCTATTGGTTCCCTGTATGTTTTTCTTTATCCCACTTTGCAAACCCTTCACTTCTTTCTCCCTTTTGCACCCATACTCATCCAATTCAGTGAGCATCCTGATTACCAGTGTTTTGAACTGTGCATCTCATAGGTTGGCTCTCTGTTCATTGCTTTGTCTGTTTTTGGAGCTTTGATCTGTTCTTTCATTTGGGCCATATTTCTTTTTCTCAATGTGTCAGTTATGTTGGAAGGGGCCGAGCCTTAGGTATTCACCAGGGTGGGGCAACCCAGGTAACTGACTTGTGAACCTGTCTGTGGGAATGGGATCCGAGAGGGAACAATGCCAGTTGGTTGGCTCTCAGCCCGCTTTCAGTCATTTCCCCTGCTACCAACAAGCAAATTGGGCCCTTCTGGTTCTGATTCCCGGGTGGGTGGGTTTGTATACATTCTAGGACCCCAGGGGTCTCTCCAACAGATTCTCCTGTGAGGCTGGGAGTTTCTCCTGCCATCGCAATACCCACAGGTTTCTACTTGCAGAGGTTTTGAGGCTTTTTTATCCTGCACTGGAACCCTGGATTGTGCATTCTGTCTCGCTCCCTAGCTGTTTCTCCAGGTTATTTGTATGCTAACTTGGGACCGCCGGGTCTGGCAGCTACAGCCTCACCCACCTGGTCCCCCAGCCACTGCCTGGCTGCGCGTCCTCTCTGCCAGAGCTGCCCGTCTGCGCCCCTCCTATTGGTCTGGATGAATGTTTCTTCTTTAACTCCTTGGTTGTCAAACTTCCATACAGTTCGATTTTCTGGCAGTTCTGGTTATTTTTTGTTTTTAAGTTTGTTGTCCTTCTTTGGTTGTGCGAAGAGGCAAAGTGTATCTACCTTCGCCTCCATCTTCTCTATTTCTTCTTGAGTGAGCTTTAGTAGTTTGTGTCTTCCAAGGAATCTGTACATTTCATGGAAATTGTCAAGTATATTTGTATAAGGTTGTTCACAGTTCTTTATGATCCTCTTAACATCTGCAGAGTATGTATTGAGATGACTTCTCTCATTCCTAATGTGGCTAATTTGTTTCTTCTCTCCTTTCCTAATCAATCTGTCTAGAAGTTTGTCAATTTTACTGATTTTCTCTAAAAACAAGTTTTTGGTTTCAGTGTTTTTATTTTTCTGTCTTCTGTTTTATTGATATCTGTATAGATCTTTATTTTTTTTTTCTTCTGTTTATGTTGGGTTTTATCTGCTCCTCTTTTTCTATGTTCTTAAGTGGAAGCTGGGGTCATTGATTTAAAATATCTTTGTTTCCAACATAGGTGCTTATTTAAACCTCTCCCAAGTATTCCTGTAGTGAAATTCAACAAAATTTCATATGTTGCTTTTTAATTTCCATTGAGTTCAGAATTCTTGCAAATTTCCCTTTTGATTTCCTTTATGAACAAACAAAGTGATTGATTTATTTATTTAGAAGCATGTTTTTTAGTTCCAAGTGTGTACTTCCAAAGATATCTGTTACTGATCTCTAATCTGAAACTATTTTGGTTAGAGAACCTACTTTGTATGACTTGAAAATTTTTAAATTTATTCAGACTGTTTTATGGAGTCAAAAATTGTCTATCTGGGTAAATGACCCATGTGCACTTGAAAATAATGTATATTTTGCTGTTTTGGATAATGTCAATTAAGTAAATCTTTTGTGTCGTTTCGTTTTCTACATACATACTGATTTTCTGTGTACTTGCTTTACCATTGAGAAAAGAAATTGAAATCTTCAACTATAATTTTTGATTTGCCTATTTCTTTATAGGTTACATTTCAAAACATATAGTCCACAAATATATCAAATGCAATGAATAGTCTGGGTGGAAAATTACCGGTACTCACATCATTTTAAATGGCTTCATTAGAATCTCTCTCTGATTTGTCCTGTTAAGTAGGCTCCGTGACCCATCATCTTTATATACAAAAGACACTTTACTTGCTACATTTTATTGTTTTATCACTTATCTAATGCATGTTATTGTTTTTACTTGGCAGCTTCTGTGTTTTTGAAACAGGCATTTGAAGGAGAATACCCTAAATTACTGCGTCTTTTTAATGATTTATGGAAGCGTCTTCAACAATACAGCCAAAGTATTCAAGGAACATTTAATGCAAGTGGAACTACAGACCTCTATGTTGATCTGCAACACATGGAAGATGATACACAAGACACATTCATACCAAAAAAGCCAGATTATGAGTATGTTTGTTTAATCAAACCTTTTTGTTGGCATATTAAGGATTTGGTTTAACATAATCTTATGTTAGATAGGGTGTCAGTCTGGTAGGAAAAAAACTGAATATACGCAAACTTAAACCTGAAAAATCTCTTAGATCACTCATAATGGGGAGCCATATTAGAAAACAACGCACATCTTAAGTTTAAAGCAGCCAACTTTTCCTCCTATATTGAAAGCGTATCATTTTCAATTTTATATTTGCATACCAAATCAATTGATTTGCACACCTTTAAACACTAGAATTATCGTTATAGTGAGGAGGCTGACTCAGATAACAGATTGTTATCACTGCCTTGTAAGAAAAATGTTGGATAGATTCATAAGTGATATTTAAATGTTTAATTTTCTTTCACTTTTAAAAAAAATATTTATAGTTGAATTTTGTCCTTTGCAGTAAGAGGTTCTGGCTGGTAAAATATAGGAAGTAGAAGTTTTGACTGGCAAAGTAAGTGGAACATGAGTAGACTAGAATGAAAACTGAGGGCAGTGAAACAAGGATGGCTTAGGAGAGACAAAACAACAGGGGAGCCTAGGCTGGGCTGCCTGACCTCACGGAAAAGTCAGAGAAAAGGAGGCCTGGAAGACTGGCTCAGGGGGTTAGCCTGGGTCGAGCTGCTGCTGCCTGTTGCTCCCCTGGTGGCTAGTCTCGTGGGGACCCTTAGAGTTTAGGAGATGCAGGCCTAAGAGGGAAGAAAATCATGAGTATGTTCTCAGGAGGCATGTTTTCTTCATTAACTTTTTTATGAAAACATGGAGATTGGATAAGGACTAATGGAAGAGGGGACAAGAGGACTAAACCCATATGTTGATCTACAAAGATCTAATAATATATTAGTCTTTTCAAAAAGTATATAAAATAACGTATCCTATATACTTAAGATTCTGTTTCTGTATTAGTTTTTAAAATCCATATGCTTACTCTAAAAAAGGTCTGGAAATATACATAGCAAATGATAACAATGGTTTATCTCTGGGAGGTAGAATTTTTATTTTGTATTTCCTGCTTTTTAAATTCAATAGAAAAAAAATCACTATGTTTTTCATTAATGGGATGTTATCCTCACCTTTCAGAGACTAAATGCAGTAAAGTAGTTGCTGGGGAAGAGGACCTATGACCCATATTTAAGAGCTCCCAAAATTAAGGAAACAAATGCAGTGGGTTTTAAATATATTTTTGAGTCCTGGTGGGTGAGGCTCAGTTAGTTGGAGCATCAGTCTCAAAGGTCATAGGATTTAAGGTAGATTGGAGAAATCAAGGCAGAGATTGGATTACAGGATAGTTAACAAGATTATGTGGTCCCTTGAAGATTAACATCTCCCCCTTCCCTGGGTATTATTTCCTGTATTTCAAAAGTGTTAACATATAAAAATGGACAGGGTTGGTTTAAAACCTTTACCTAAAGAAGTTAGAGGCCTGAGGTATGACTACTCACCAAGACGAGCCCAGTTAAGAGTTTATGATCAGATCACTCTATGAGGTTACTTTCCATAGAACTCTTTTTTAATCCACATCCCCCAATTTACAACTAGAGGGCCGACTTTCTGAGGGGAGGTAAGCCTCAGCATGCCTCTTCCTGGACACAGCTGCTAATAGTTGAGGCTAAATGAGATCAGGAGGTGGGTGCTCCCATATTGGACCTAGGTACCACTCATGGAGTGGCATCTCTACCTTGTTGTGACTCCCTGAAAATACTTGAGTCTCAATAAACCTTCCTCTGGCTTTTTACATAGTGGTTTCATGCCAGGAAATGCAGGCTGTGGGGACCACAGGCTACTGCCCAGCCGCTACCGAGTTACTCAAGTAAGGTGTTACCTGAGACTTTTTTCTTAAGGCAATTTGATGCTGACCAAAATCTGATGTTTTAAGGCCTTAATGATTAAGGAAGGGAGTAGATGTATAGAAAGAAGAATAGCTTATGTTAAAGAGATTGAGTTTCTGCAAAATTACAGAATGTATTTAAAAACAACAATCTACACATATAGAAAGCTCAACAAATTCCAAGCAGGATTAACTCAAAAAGACCACAAACCAGTAAGTTAGGTTCCATAATTAACTCATTTAATGTTTTTTATTTTTTGTACCACTTTCATTAACATATAAACTTTGCAGACAGAGAATTTTCTAACCGACTTCACTGCTACATTTTCTGCACTTAGGAAGTACCTGGCAAATTATGGAGACTCAACTATTTTGGGGAGAGAAGGAAGGAGAGGAGAGTAGTGATTTGGAAAGTTGTTCCCAAACTTGGAGATTTTAGAGTTCGAGCAGTTCAAAAGGTTGACTCAGATATGGAGGATCCATAGTACAGCTAAAATAAAGGTTAGGTAGCCTACCGACACAGGACAGAAAAAAGTTAGAAAAATTACCTGTTTTGATATTGTAGCCACCAAAGATCCTCATAGCACTGGAGAACAGGAAGAGTGTTAAGTACTTAAAATTCAGTGCTAAAATTTCTGTAGAAGAGGGAAGAAATAGCTTCTCCTTCTCTCTCTCTCTCTTTCTTTCTTCTTCTTTTTCTTCCTTCCTTCTTCTTCACATTTATTGCGTTGACATTGGAAAATAGAATCATATAGGTTTCAGGCATATAATTCTGTCATACATCATCTGTATATTGTATTGTGTGTGTGAAGACGCTTCTTAAGGTTAGTGAATGACAGGAGGAAAAATAGAGCAGACATGGACTTCAGTGGAGGATTGCTTGCGACAGATTTAGACACTAGTTCTTCACTTTTACCATTGTGGTCTTTCTCTCTTGATCTGTTGTAGAGGTTATAGTTAGTACTTTACCTGCACATTTTTTTTCTAAAGTGTAAAGAATTTTAAATCTGTATCTTCCCAGCACTTAACAAAGGCCTTGTATGTTGTATTCCTAGTCAATATGTGCCAGGTGAAATACTTCTTGAATAAGAAAATGTTAAGAGATAACTATGGAATTATGGTGTAGAATCCAAGAACATTCTGACTTCTAGGTCTTGTCAGTTGATCAGAAAGGGTGGGAAAGGAGAAAGCCAGGTTTTGGATACATAAAGGAGCAGGTCAGACATTTTCAAGGTTAATATTTAAGATAAAGAGGGATTTAGTTTTTAAAAAAGGAAATAAAAAAGACAGTGGTAGGCCAAAACCAAAAGAGTAGTGGGGCCGGCAAAAGGTTCATAAACAGGAGTGATGTGACAAGATATAGAGTTAATTATAGGAGAAAGAAAGAAGATGGAAATAATGGTTATAGACATTTGATAGTGGTTGTAAAAGGAAAACTATAAGACCCAATAATTGGACAGTTAAATGAAAATCAGCACAAATAATTGAAGACGTGGGAAGAGTAGGGAGGAAAGAGTGTTCAGTAGGTTAAGTTTTGGTTTGTGAAGAATATAAAGTTAATTAGCTTAGAACTCCAATTGAGTGTATTTTTGTGATTGTAAAGCTTTAACAAAATACTTTTTATTTTTTCCTCATTCTTATAGTAACAGTTTTGGCATGGGAAGGCTGATAAAAGCCTACTTCTGTATGTTTACTCCTCTCGGCCAGTGAGTTTTATGGAATATGACGGCTATGGATGAAAAGGGTTGAGCTAGTGCAGCAATTTTCAACCAGTGTGTTCCAAGAATTTTTAAAACATGCAATACCTGACTATTTATTCAGTGGCACTGACCCCTTTTCCCTTAGATTGCCAAATAAAAAAATGACAACAGCCAACATAATAATAACTGTCAGGTGTGACTGCCCTGTCTTGAACCATAAATTTATTGATCATATACTAGAGCTGCATCTCATTGGTCACATCACATAATAACGTTGTAGCTGATTGGATAATTCTTGGTACCAGAATTCCTTATATACAGGTATACGCACCCTGATTTTTTTAAAAGTCACTTTTGAGCAAAAAGGGTAGGTAATTACTACTATTATTAATTTGTGTAAATAAATCAATTATGCCTTTTTTTTATCAGATTGACAAAAATATGTATTTTTTGGTGTGCCACAAAATTTTAGTATTTTGTTCATATGTGCCATGAGGTTTAAAATGTTGAAAATCATTGAGCTAGTGGAACAGGTCTCTGCAGACTTGATACTGTATGAAGACAGGATTTGCTAAGTAAAGGCATAGACCCAATCGAAATATGAAAATTTTAGTGTTATTCTTTGAGTTTCAAGTGACAGACTTACTCCACTAGGTACTGGTGCATATAATAATAATGTTCATACCTAGGATTTATGTATAGATTAAAATGTTTAGTCCTTAGTAAATGTTTAATTACAAAATGTATGTGTAATGATATTTATTTATTTTAAGGATTTTTAAAAACTTCATTGGGTATGGACTTTTTAAGTATATTTTATTGGTTATGCTGTTACAGTTGTCCTAATTATTCCCCTGTGCCCCCTTCCCTCCGCGCCCATCTTCCCTCCAGCAGTCCGACCCCTGCCCCCAGTTCATGTCCATGGGTTGTGCACATAAGTTCTTTAGCTTCTCCATTTTCTATATTGTTCTTAACATCCCATCTATTTTGTTCCTATCAATTATTCTTCTTAAACACTGTACCTTTTACCCCATTCTCCCCCTTCCCCATCCCTGCTGATAACCCTCCCCATGGTCTCTGATTCTGTTCCTGTTCTGTTTGCTTAGTTTGGTTTTGTTTTTGTTTTTTAGATTCAATTGTTGATAGTGTGAATTTGCTGTCATTTTAATATTTATGGTTTAATCTTCTTTTTCTTAAATAAGCTCCTTTAACATGTCATATAATATATTTCATGTAATAAGAGCTTGGTGATGAACTCCTTTAGCTTCACTTTATCTGGAAAGCACTTTATCTGCCCTTCACCTTAAATGATAGGTTTGCTGGATACTTTGAATACTTCTTGCCAGTCCATTGTCTGCAAAGTTTCTTTTGAGAAATCAGCTGATAGTCTTATGGGAACTCCTTTGTACCATAGCTCTCTGCTTTTCTCTTGCTGCTTTTAAGATTCTCTCTTTATCTTTAACCTTTGGAATTTTCTAAAATACATTTTTAAATATTTTTTTCTTATTCTACATGTAGAGTTACTCTTTAGGAGATATATTTTTAAAGAAAGGCAGTTATAGCCCATTATAATTGCACTTATTGATGTTAATTTTCAATAAATTTTGTTCCCACAGTCCAGAAAAGGCGTTAAAAGACTCACTACAGCCCTATGAAGCTGCTTATTTATCAAAATCCTTATCTCGACTTTTTGATCCTATCAATTTGGTTTTCCCCTCTGGTGGTCGTAATCCTCCTTCTTCAGATGACTTGGATGGCATTATTAAAACTATAGCAAGGTATGTATTTTTTATGTAGTGGCATGTTACTGAAATACCTGGTAAGTTTATTAGTCATGTATGATTGCAGTATATTTTTAACTTATTGCAGATTATTCAAGTAATTAGTCCTGAAATTAAGAGTTTTGCAGTAAATGAGTGTACATTAAGTACTTGAGATTCCAATTAATAAAATCATTTAAATACAATCTAACCACAGTCTGTTCTGATTATTCTGTATCTTGTCAATGATAGAAAGTAAATCTAATTTTTTTTTTTTTTAAGATTTTATTTATTTATTTTTAGAGAGAGGGGAAGAGAGGGAGAAAGACTAGGAGAGAAACATCATTGTGTAAGAGATACATTGACTGGTTGCCTCTTCCCTGCCACCAACTGGGGACCTGGCCTGAAACTCAGGCATGTGTTCTGACTGGGAATCAAACCAGCAACCTTTTGGTTTGCAGGTCTACACTCAATCCACTGAGCCACACCAGCCAGGGCGAATTCTTTATGCCACAGTAAATTTCTACTATTACAGGAAAATAAGTCTAGGAATAATTTTATAAGTAGAGAAGCCAAAGCGTAGAGGTTAAGGTTTTATTTCTTTTAAGATTTTATTTATTTATTTTTAGAGAGAGGGGAAGGGAGGGAGAAAGAGAGGGAAAGAAACATTGGTATGCAAGAGAAACATCAATTGGTTGCCTCTCCCATGCCCCCAACTGGGGGCTTGGCCTGCAGCCCAGGCATGTGCCCCGACTGAGAATGGAACCAGTGACCTTTTGGTTCCCTGGCCAGAGCTCAGTCCACTGTGCCGCACCAGCCAGGTCACTGTTTCCTATCTTAAATCCATCAAGTACTTCATGACATACACAGTATTATAATCCAGAGTAGCAACCTTGCGTTTACTATTTTAATCCTTCTAGGTGAATGTGACAAATTTTAAAATCCCTGAAAGGGAAGGTATCCTAGCAGAGGGGCCTCCTGAATGCTTGCAGACAATGTAATTATGTTACCCAACATAATTTGGGTCCTAAGTTGGGTCTTGCTGCCTGCTACCACTCTCTAGGCAAAATTCCAAAGGCAAAGGTTTTGTGATAAAGGAAAGGAGTTTTTATTCAAAAGCTCTGCAATTCTGGAGTAACAGCTTTTCTCTTGCATTAGTCACTTAGGCTTATCAATTAAGGCTAAACCCTTCAACTCTTTAGTTAATAGCTTTAATCACTTAAGCCTACCAATTAAGGCTAAAATCTTTTAACTCCTCACCTCCCTTATCAGTCCCCATTTTTAATTATCTTATTTCAATAGGATTAGTTTGCAAACTAAAAGAACTTAGATACAAAAGCTACACAATTTTAGAAGAATGGAAGGCTTCTGCCTCACAGCCTGTCCCCTCTAGAACACGGGTTCCCAACCAAGGGCCACAGACTGGCACTGATCTGGGGCCTGTTAGGAACCAAGCCTCATTGCAGGAGAGGTGAGTGGCGGGCGAGGGAGTGAAGCTTCGCTCACAATGCTGCCTGAGCTCTGCCTCCTCTCTCCCCAATTCTGCCTGTCTCTGGTCCATGGGAAAACTGTCGTCCATGAAACTGGTCCATGGTGCCCAAAAGGTTGGGGACTGCTGCTCCAGAACACCCAAAGAGGAGTAACTCTGACATCCTCTGCCAGGCCAGCCTGATCTTAGGCTGGGCCCAGAGTTTCTTCTCCAAAATTTATCCAAAATTCTGTCCTATGGGAAATTCAGGGAGCTGTAGCATGACATTTTCAAGGAAGAGAGCCTGAGAGCCAGTCTCTGCCTTTTTTTTTTTTTTATTTTAAATCTTCTGGCATATAATTCCATGCACTCTGCAGCCGTTCAGCGTCTCAGCCAGTCCTGTCCTGGGCTGTTCACCGCTGCCTCGGGCAGCCTCCTCCCACCGCCCCTCTTTACCCCTCCCCTGTAATGTAATTTGATCAGATCTCTGTATCAATTATACTGTTACCTTTAGACACTTAGAGTTGCCCAAATCAATTTGCAGTTATGACTATCTCAGTTCCTGCCATAGCTAACAAACTGTCATAACAGTAGGTCTTTACATTTGTCAGTGAACACTTTGAGGAATTAAAACAGTAGTTAGACAATATAGAACGAAGGTATAGAAATGTCTAGATTCTTTTACACCATAAATTTGAAGATGGTGATTCTGAGGCTGTGTGAGAATGACTACAAAGCCACAGATATAGTATATGTAAACATCTCTCCAGCTGCAAATACATCTTAACATTGTCTAAAATGCCCAGCATCTTGATCCTAAATCTCTCCACAATTATCTTGACTTTCTAAAGTTCTGATTCTAGATTTTTTTAACCCTAATGTGTTTATCTGCTTAGCATGGTAGCAATAAAAACAGTCCTGGATTCAATTTGGTCTCTTTGACCTGCTTATAGGAATATTAAAGGGGCATCTCCCTCATGCAGCTTGGCAGTGCTGTAAATCAAATATGATGTGGAGCTTAAAGAAGCATACTTATGCCAGTGTTTAAAAGTGAACATTAAGGAAATTATGTCTTACTGTTATGTGAGGTCTGTGGAAAAAGTCTATCCATTGTTAATATAATGAGAATGGTTTGTGCCACATTAATGTAATCTGGCAGCCACAGAGGGTGGACTGGAATGCGCAAACAATTACAACTTCTCTGTACTAGTCAGTGGGGTGGTGCCCCCTGTTGAGTGAGTATGTGAACTGTGTGGCCGTCGTATTCAAAATGACTGAGCAAATAGAGCACAAATCTGCATCAAATTTTGCATTAAGCTTGAACATTCCCCTGTGGAAACTATTTGGATGATTCAGAAGGCCACACTGCAGTTATAGGCAACTGCTGATTGGCAGCTTTATCATAACAAAACACCTGCTCACGCATCATGCCTTGTACAGAGTTTTTTGGTGAAATATCAAATCACCTAGGTGACTCAGTCTCTCTACAGCCCAGATTTGGCACCCTGCGACTTTTGGCATTTCCCAAAACTAAGATCGCCTTTGAAAGGGAAGAGATTTCAGACCATGGATGAAGTTCAGGAAAATATGCCAGGCAGCTGGTGGCCATTGGGAGAACTGCGTGAGGGGTCCCAAGGTGCCTGCTTTGAAAGGGACTGAAGTGTCAATGTTCTGTATACAGTGTTCCTTGTATCTTGTATCTTCTTCAATAAATGTATATTTTTCATATTACATGGCTGGAGACTTTCTAGACAGACCTCTGCAAGGACATTTTGTCACCCATAGTCTGCACTAGTGTTTCAAAGTCCTTCATTTTCTTCCTAAAGAGAATCTGATAAGTGCCAAGATTTAATCTGCTACTTCAAAGACAGTAATTATGTCTCCTGTTTTCTACCTCTGTGTGGGTTTTCATGAAAGTTTTAACTCCTAGTATTCTTTCCATGGTGTTTGTAGACACTCCTTTTTTTTTTGTTTTGGCTTGGTAGTCACTTCAAATATTCCAGTTAACTCAGTATTAAAGTTGAAAATAAACACGAGAAATACTTTAAGAATCCAAAATTTCAAATTTCAGATTAAATTCTTGTTATGCTTTAGATATATTTAAAAAGCTGCACAAAATAGCATGAATTGGCATTAATTTCTAGAAACTGAGTATCTTTATGTAGCATATGTAATTTATATTGTTAGCTCATGTCCTCCAAGGTCATCATTTCCATTCAAGAGCTGTCATTTCTTTGCAGATGTCTGTAATATGTAGTGGTTCTAATTGCACTTATCAGTATTAACAAGGTTGCAACTTTAAAAATCTGTACACAATTTACTCTCATAATCACAGCCTGAATCCACATATAATATGCTTTTATTAATGAGAGACTGATTATTAACAAAATCATCTCAAAGCGCTTCTCTGAAATGCTGAATTTAGGAGGGAAAATGAAACAATGGAACCAATTCTTGCAAGCAATCAATGAAATCCTTAAAAAGAATTGCCATGTTGCTTATTGGTTTTAGGTTTATATGTTTGTTATTGATTTTACGTTTATATGTTTGTTAATAAGCAGTGCTGCTAATAATTAAAGTCCATTTTTGTTTTGTCCAGTGAACTAAATGTAGCTGCCGTTGATGTAGACCTCACATTAGCTGTGTCAAAAAACGTGGCAAAGACCATCCAATTATATGGTGTGAAATCAGAGCAGCTTGTAAGTGATATCGCTTCTGTAAACTTGTATGATTTCGTTTAAAATTACTTATATAATATTTGACTAACTATGAATATTAAATTGACTGAGTATTAATTAACTTTTTTCTTGTGACCTGTTGATGTTTTATTTGTGTTTAATATCTCTTTATTTTCTTTTTTATTTCTTTTAATTTTTTTATTGTATTTTTTTCCCATTGACATTTAGTCCCCTTACACTCCCCTCCCCCAGCAATTGCCACACTGAATATTAATTTACTGGCATTTTTACTTTAGTGAACTTCTGAAACTTTCTGATGAATTTAAACCAGAAAAAAATTGTTACATCTATTAAAAAATGGACCTCCTATACCATTGTCATAGTCTCAGAATGCAGGCAGTTTAAAAATTTTTTTTTACTTATTTATTTTTCTTCTTTTATTATATTTTTAAAATATTGTGATTTTAGTTTTAACTTTCTAGATTACTAACAAGAATAACAATATTTTCAAATATTAGTGACCAATTATGTATTTTTTCATACTTTCAATTTTTACAGGACTATTTTATTCTTCATATTTTCTGAATTCTGATTGTTTATCATCAGTTATATGTGGTACAAACAACTTCTTTCAGTCTGTGGCTTGTCCACGTTACTTTCTTTGGGGTTATTTTCTGATTAATAGAAGTCTTAATGTTACTATAATAAGACACAACTTTTTTCCTTTACTGTTTATGCCTTTTGAATCCTAAAAATCCTTTTAAAAGTCTTGTAACATTTGTCCTTATCTTTATCATTCCTTCTAAAATTTTTAAGTTCTCTCTCTCTCTCATATTTAAATCTTTAACTTTCTTGGAATTAACTTATGTGTGTGGTGCAAAGAAAGTATTTAATGTCATGGCTTTTTTCTTTTTACTTGCAGAGTTATTTATTTATTTTTACTTTTATTATATTGTATTGATTATGCTATTACAGTTGTCCTGGTTTTCCCCTCTTTGCCGCCGTTCACCCAGCGCCCCCTCCCTCCCTCAGGCATCCCCCGCCATTGCCCATGTCCGTAGGTCCTGTGTCTAAGTTCTCTGGCTGCTCCATTTCCTACACTGTACTTTACATCCCCATGGCTATCCTGTAACTACCTATTTGTACTTCTTAATCCCTTCACCTCTTCACCCATTCCCCCAGACCTTCTCCCGTCTGGCAACCATCAAAACACTCTCTGTGTCCATGATTCTGTATCTGTTCTTCTTGTTTGCTTAGTTTGATTTTTAGATTCAGTCGTTATTAGATTTGTAGTTTTTGCCATTTTATTGCTCATCGTTTTTATCTTCTTTTTTTCTTAAAGAAGTCCCTTTAACATTTCTTATAATAATGGTTTGGTGATGATGAACTCTTTTAGTTTTGGTCGTTGTTTTTTTGTTTTTTGGGGTTTTTTTTTGATCTGGGAAGCTCTTTATCTGCCCTTTGATTCTAAGTGATAGTCTTTGTTGGGTAACAATCTTGGCTGTAGGTCCCTGCTTTTCATGACTTTGAACATCTTACCAGTCCCTTCTAGCCTGCAAGTTTCTTTTGAGAAATCAGTTGACAGTCTTATGGGTACTTCCCTGTAGGTAACTAACTCCTTTTCTCTTGCTACTTTTTAGATCCTCTCTTTATCTTTAACCTTTGGCATTTTTAATAATGATGTGTCTTGGAGTGGGCCTCTTTGCATCCATCTTGTTTGGAACTCTCTGTGCTTCCTGAATTTACATGTCTCTTTTCTTCACCAAATTAGGAACATATTCTTTCATTATTCTTTCAAATAGATTTCCAGTTTCTTGCTCTTTCTCTTCTCCTTCTGGCACTCCTATGATGCGAATGTTGGAGTGCTTGAAGTTGTCCTAGAGGCTGCTTGTACTATCCTCATTTTTTTTTAATTCCTCTTTTTTCTTATTGTTCTGATTGGTTGTTTTTTGGTTCCTTATGCTCCAAATCATTGATTTGATTCTCAGCTTCATCCACTCTACTGTCGTTTCCCTGTAAATTGTTCTTTATTTCAATTAATGTATCCTTAGTTTCTAACTGTATCTTTGTGCTACTTTATGGGCTAGTTACATATTTTTTAAAATAATAATTATTTCAGATTGATCAAATTTACCCTCTCATTTGACCACTTACTCCATGTATTCATGCACCATTTCTTACTGTGAAATTGACTTGAACTGTTAGAAAATTGTTGGAAGAAATGAAGTGCTTAAAATTGTAATAGTAAAGTATTGATTAAATTTCTAAATGTTCTAACCCTAGAGCCTGGAAGTTTAACCCTAAAATTATTTTATTTGAAATTGGTGTTTGCATATATTTAAAACAATAGCTATGTAACTGAATCATAATCTTAATTCTATAAAGTTAAGCACATACATTATTAGTATATATGTGTGCTAACTGAAATCTAAAGAATAAGGCTTTAATATACTTTTACCTGACATTGATGAGCTACAGTAATTTTAGAGAATGTTCCAAAATCTGATATCTATACTGTCTTTATAGTGTAGCCAACCATAGTTTCAGTTTAGCCTCTCTGACTGCTCCCAGTTGAAATGTCAGAAAATGAAGTAATCTAGTTTACCTATGCCCTGGTAGTTCCAGTTGGCTCTAGAATAATTTTTAGGGAAGGCTGGTAACAAACAACTGAAGGAATTTGTATAAAATGATTCTCGATGATATAGTCATGTCCTACTTTCAGTTCCAAAAGATAGCCAGGTTTTGTTCGCATGTTATTAATAATATTAATAATATGGTGCTGTTTTCCATTCAATTGTTCTTGCAGCTTTCACAAATAATTTAGAAGCTTCTTGTTTTTAAACTTTGTTTATTGAAAACGGGCCCTATAGATCATCAAAGCTCTTTGTAGGTAATAATATGACTAATTTTTCTCTCAAGGTTTTTTAAAAATGTGGGGTTTTTTAAAAATTTATTTTAGAGAAGGAGGGGGAAGATAGAAACATCGATTTGTTGTTCCACTTACTGATATATTCATTGGTTGATTCTTGAATGTGCCCTGCCTGGGGATCGAACCCACAACCTTGGCATATTTGGATAATGCTCTAACAACTGAGCTACCCACCCAGGGCAACATGGTTTATTTCTATAGATGAAATTCAGGACTATATCCAATAGAGTAAAGTCTAATGTAATTAATAAAAACATCAGGAGGATAATCATTATGAGATGGTCTCACCTAAGGACATTAGAAGGAAGAGCCAGCATATGTAGAGGAAATATTTTATTTTTTTGCTTTAGGAGGAGGCAGTGGTAATGGTAACTTGTGATTTCAGTTAAGGCAATAATGCAAAAAACGTTGACAAAATACATCAACAAACATCTGATTAAATTGATACTTTGGTCAGAAAGCCTGTAACCCTAAATTACTCAGGCCGACCAAATCTACTATGTTAAAGGTTAATAGAAAGTCATTAACTTTAACATTTTTTAATTGAACTGTTTCTTTTTTTACAAGTAATTTTACTTTTCAACTTTTGTTGTATTTTATAAAGAAAGCCTTAGCATTAAATAAGCGTACAAAGAGCATCATTTGCTTTACTTTTTTAAATATATATCTCATTGGTTATGCTATTATAGTTGTCCAATTTTTTTCTCCCCTTTATTCCCCTCCACCCTGCACTGCCCTTCCCCCAAGCACCCCCTTAGTTCACGTCCTTGGGTCGTACATATAAGTTCTTTGGCTTCTCCATTTCCTATACTATTCTTAACCTCCCCCTGTCTATTTTGTACCTACTGTTTAAGCTGCTTATTTCCTGTACCTTTTTCCCCATTCTCCCCCACCCCAGTCTCCATTTCTATGATTCTGTTCCTGTTCTAGATGTTTGCTTAGTTTGTTTTTGTTTTTGTTTTTGCTTAGTTTCAGGTGTTGATAGTTGTGAGTTTGTTGTCATTTTACTGTTCATAGTTTTGATCATCTTTTTCTTAGGTAAGTCCCTTTAACATTTCATATAATAAGGGCTCAGCGATGATGAACTCCTTTCACATTACCTTATCTGGGAAGCACTTTATCTGCCCTTCCATTCTAAATGATACCTTTGCTGCATAGGGTAATCTTGGATGTAGGTCCTTGACTTTCATGATTTTGAATACTTCTTTCCAGCCTCTTGCCTGCAAGGTTTCTTTTGAGAAATCAGCTGATAGTCTTATGGGCACTCCTCTGTAGGTAACTGTCTCCTTTTCCTTTGCTGCTTTTAAGATTCTCTCCTTATCTTTAATCTCGGGTAACTTAGTTATGATGCCTTGGTGTGTGCTTCCTTGGGTCCAACTTCTTTGGGACTCTCTGAGCTTCTTGGATCTCCTGGAAGTCTACTTCCTTGGCCAGATTAAGGGAGTTCTCCTTCATTATTTTTTCAAATAAGTTTTCAATTTCTTACTCCTCCTTTTCTACTTCTGGCACCCCTATGATTTGGATGTTGGAACATTTAAAGTTGTCCCAGAAGTTCCTAAGCCTCTCCTCATTTTTTTGAATTCTTGTTTTTGCATTCGGTTCTGGTTGAATGTTTATCCCTTCCTTCTGCTCCCAATTGTTGATTTGAGTCCTGGTTTCCTTCCCTTTCTCAACAGAAGGGGCAACCTTCCCTGTATACATTTCTTTATTTCACATTGCATAGTCTTCTCTTTTTCCTCCATTTTGCAACCATACTCATCCAATTCAGTGAGCATCCTGATTACCAGTGTTTTGAACTGTGCATCTGATAGGTTGGCTCTCTGTTCATTGCTTTGTCTGTTTTTGGAGCTTTGATCTGTTCTTTCATTTGGGCCATATTTCTTTGTCTCAGTGTGTCTGCTATGTTGGAAGGGACAGAGCCTTAGGTATTCGCCAGGGTGGGACAACCAGGTCGCTGACTTGTGATGCTGTCTGTGGAAGTGAGGTCCGAGAGGGAACAATGCCAGTTGCTTGGCTCTCAGCCGGCTTTCAGTCACTTCCCCCACTACCCACAGGCAAATCAGGCCCTTCTGGTGCTGACTCCCAGGTGGGT